GGAGGCACAAAGGTGGCCGCCAGGATATTTACCCAGACCTGGCTGCCTGACACCGCAGCTTCTCACCAGAGCTGGGGAGCCTCCAGGGACAAGAGGGGAATTGAGCCTGTTGGATGCCTGCGCCCACCTTGACAAGGCCACTGGGCACCCGCCCCATGCCGGGGTGATTTGGGCATGGCCTCAGCCCCACTGGCCGTCCTGCAGAGCCCCATAGGGCACTTGCATTCTGCTCCCAGACCTGGCTGCCTGACACCGCAGCTTCTCACCAGAGCTGGGGAGCCTCCAGGGACAAGAGGGGAATTGAGCCTGTTGGATGCCTGCGCCCACCTTGACAAGGCCACTGGGCACCCGCCCCATGCCGGGGTGATTTGGGCATGGCCTCAGCCCCACTGGCCGTCCTGCAGAGCCCCATAGGGCACTTGCATTCTGCTCCAGCCAGGAGGACATGCTCCTGCCCTGCATAGAGCCAGGGACAGGGAACAGCCAGCCCCTGTCCCAGCCTCACACCAGGGGCAGGTGGTCACTGCTCCCAACCTCACCAATGTGGAAAATAAATGGAGAAAAAGCTCAGATGTTAGAAGGTATGTTCAGAGCAAGGCTGCCACAGGGATAAACATCCTCAATTACGTCATTTTACTGCATAACTTAGAGTGCACAAATAACACCCCATCTCCCACAGCCCAGCTTTATCTGTAGCCCTCTGTATTCCTGTCATTAGCATCTTTCCAGGAAGTGTTTAGACATACATGGTCATCGTGCTCCTCGCTCCAAGTGTTTTCTCTAGAAGGACAAGTAACCTCTCTGCCTCCCACCATCAGCTGTCTGAGCTCTACAGCTCAACACTAGCACGCCCTTCACCCCTCACAGACCAGGACTCACCCCATTGCAGCTAAACCCTCACCAACAAACACAACCCTACAGCCCCCTTGGGGTGCTCCACTTCCCCCACTAACTGCTGGGCTTTCTGTATGCCAGCCTCCCCCCCGGCCTTGGAGCATTCCCAGCGCAACTCAGACACCCTCATCATCACTGCCAAGTCCAGCTTTTCCCCACATTTCCATAGGTCACAGCTTGAGGAAGGGGTTTATGAGACCATGGCAGAAGGGAGTGCTCAGGCTGCCCCATGTGAGCTCCCACATCAGCAGGGAGCAAGAATCTGGACCCTAGATCCAGGACTGGTGAGTGTTGCAGCCTGGTGGACACTGAGCAATGCCAACCCAAGAGCACAGGCCACCCCAGACCTCCCAGATGGGGGGAGCTGCAGCTGGCTGGCAGGGACCCAGGCTATGGCCATTCCCCCAAGCACA